CTTGGCTCATTTCTTGTCATAGCTAGCATGCACACAAACACACACACTTTGTTTTACCTCACAGTGTGTTTGTGTATACACACACAAGTATGTCAAAGTATGCATGGCTATATTACAAAAGGTGTTGCTAGGTGAAGTGGCCTTCTATGATGTCACTGGATTAGATGTTGCTAGGCGGGCCTTCTGTGCTGTCACTGGGTTGGCTGTTGCTAGGCAGGCCTTCTGTGATGTCACTGGGTTGGCTGTTGCTAGGCGGGCCTTCTGTGATGTCACTGGGTTGGCTGTTGCTAGGCGGGCCTTCTGTGATGTCACTGGGTTGGCTGTTGCTAGGCGGGCCTTCTGTGATGTCACTGGGTTGGCTGTTGCTAGGCGGGCCTTCTGTGATGTCACTGGGTTGGCTGTTGCTAGGCGGGCCTTCTGTGATGTCACTGGGTTGGCTGTTGCTAGGCGGGCCTTCTGTGATGTCACTGGGTTGGCTGTTGCTAGGCGGGCCTTCTGTGATGTCACTGGGTTGGCTGTTGCTAGGCGGGCCTTCTGTGATGTCACTGGGTTGGCTGTTGCTAGGCGGGCCTTCTGTGATGTCACTGGGTTGGCTGTTGCTAGGCGGGCCTTCTGTGATGTCACTGGGTTGGCTGTTGCTAGGCGGGCCTTCTGTGATGTCACTGGGTTGGCTGTTGCTAGGCGGGCCTTCTGTGATGTCACTGGGTTGGCTGTTGCTAGGCGGGCCTTCTGTGATGTCACTGGGTTGGCTGTTGCTAGGCGGGCCTTCTGTGATGTCACTGGGTTGGCTGTTGCTAGGCGGGCCTTCTGTGATGTCACTGGGTTGGCTGTTGCTAGGCGGGCCTTCTGTGATGTCACTGGGTTGGCTGTTGCTAGGCGGGCCTTCTGTGATGTCACTGGGTTGGCTGTTGCTAGGCGGGCCTTCTGTGATGTCACTGGGTTGGCTGTTGCTAGGCGGGACTTCTGTGATGTCACTGGGTTGGCTGTTGCTAGGCGGGCCTTCTGTGATGTCACTGGGTTGGCTGTTGCTAGGCGGGCCTTCTGTGATGTCACTGGGTTGGCTGTTGCTAGGCGGGCCTTCTGTGATGTCACTGGGTTGGCTGTTGCTAGGCGGGCCTTCTGTGATGTCACTGGGTTGGCTGTTGCTAGGCGGGCCTTCTGTGATGTCACTGGGTTGGCTGTTGCTAGGCGGGCCTTCTGTGATGTCACTGGGTTGGCTGTTGCTAGGTGGGCCTTCTGTGATGTCACTGGGTTGGCTGTTGCTAGGCGGGCCTTCTGTGCTGTCACTGGGTTGGCTGTTGCTAGGCGGGCCTTCTGTGATGTCACTGGGTTGGCTGTTGCTAGGCGGGCCTTCTGTGATGTCACTGGGTTGGCTGTTGCTAGGCGGGCCTTCTGTGATGTCACTGGGTTGGCTGTTGCTAGGCGGGCCTTCTGTGATGTCACTGGGTTGGCTGTTGCTAGGCGGGCCTTCTGTGATGTCACTGGGTTGGCTGTTGCTAGGCGGGCCTTCTGTGATGTCACTGGGTTGGCCGTTGCTAGGCGGGCCTTCTGTGATGTCACTGGGTTGGCCATCGCTAGGTGGGCCTTCTGTGATGTCACTGGGTTGGCCATCACCAGGTGGGCCTTCTGTGATGTCACTGGGTTGGCTGGTGCTCAGTGGGTCTTTTGTGTTGTCACTGGGTTGGCCATTGCTAGACGGGCCTTCTGTGATGTCACTGGATTGGCTGTTGCTAGGCGGGCCTTCTGTGATGTCACTGGGTTGGCTGTTGCTAGGCGGGCCTTCTGTGATGTCACTGGGTTGGCTGTTGCTAGGCGGGCCTTCTGTGATGTCACTGGGTTGGCTGTTGCTAGGCGGGCCTTCTGTGATGTCACTGGGTTGGCTGTTGCTAGGCGGGCCTTCTGTGATGTCACTGGGTTGGCCGTTGCTAGGCGGGCCTTCTGTGATGTCACTGGTTGGCTGTTGCTAGGCGGGCCTTCTGTGATGTCACTGGGTTGGCTGTTGCTAGGCGGGCCTTCTGTGATGTCACTGGGTTGGCTGTTGCTAGGCGGGCCTTCTGTGATGTCACTGGGTTGGGTGTTGCTAGGCGAGTCTTCTGTGATGTCACTGAGTTGGCTGTTGCTAGGTGGGCCTTCTGTGATGTCACTGGGTTGGGTGTTGCTAGGCGGGCCGTCTGTGATGTCACTGGGTTGGCCGTTGCTAGATGGGCCTTCTGTGATGTCACTGGGTTGGCCATCACCAGGTGGGCCTTCTGTGATGTCACTGGGTTGGCTGGTGCTCAGTGGGTCTTTTGTGTTGTCACTGGGTTGGCCATTGCTAGACGGGCCTTCTGTGATGTCACTGGATTGGCTGTTGCTAGGCGGGCCTTCTGTGATGTCACTGGGTTGGCTGTTGCTAGGCGGGCCTTCTGTGATGTCACTGGGTTGGCTGTTGCTAGGCGGGCCTTCTGTGATGTCACTGGGTTGGCTGTTGCTAGGCAGGCCTTCTGTGATGTCACTGGGTTGGCCGTTGCTAGGCAGGCCTTCTGTGATGTCACTGGGTTGGCCATTGCTAGGCAGGCCTTCTGTGATGTCACTGGGTTGGCCGTTGCTAGGCGAGTCTTCTGTGATGTCACTGAGTTGGGTGTTTCTAGGCGAGTCTTCTGTGATGTCACTGAGTTGGCTGTTGCTAGGTGGGCCTTCTGTGATGTCACTGGGTTGGGTGTTGCTAGGCGGGCCGTCTGTGATGTCACTGGGTTGGCCGTTGCTAGATGGGCCTTCTGTGATGTCACTGGGTTGGGTGTTTCTAGGTGGGTCTTCTGTGATGTCACTGGGTTGGCCATCGCTAGGCAGGCCTTCTGTGATGTCACTTGGTTGGCCGTTGCTAAGCTGAGTGACCCTCTGTGATGTCATTGGGTGAAAAAGCGGGCATGTGTATGAGGGCAAGGGAGGAAAGCAGCAAAGAGCAATGTTGTCAAGGAGATATTGGGAAATAAGCCTCCTCAAAGCTGGATAAGGGAAAAAGGGGACAAGAAGGAAGGAAGGAAGGAAGGAAGGAAGGAAGGAAGGAAGGAAGGAAGGAAAGAAAGAGAAAAAGAAGGGAATAAAAGCAAAGAAGAAGGAAGGAGGGGGGGGAAAGGTATGAAGGGAGAGATGGAGAGAAAAGGAAAGGAGGGATGAAATTGGGAGTGGGGAAGCAGCCCCTCCAACACCCAGGCAATGTGGAGTTTACACACCAGTTTGTGTATGTGTGTGTATACACAAACACAAACATGCAGGCAACATAAAGTAAGGAAACATAAGGTAAAACAAAATATGGAATGTATGCATGCATGCATGTATGTATTCACACACACATGCTACTCATGGTAACAAATGTGCCAAGAATCCAGAAGGGTGTGTGTATGCACACATACACACCATGAGGTCAGCTACCAATCCTCCAACATCTGGTATTCACTGGCAGTCTCCTATCCAAGTACTAACCAGAGCCAAGCCATTTGTTTTTAATGGTTTTTAACTGGGAATTTTCAAAATAATGTTTATATTTAATCCTCTCTCAGCTTTCTTTTATTCAAGCTAAACCAGTGGTTCCCAACCTGTGGTCCGTGGCCCGCCAGTGGTCTGAAAGAACTATAATATAGTCCACGGCCTCACCATTACTACAGCTTTGCAAAAAGAGTCACTGGTCTTGTGAAACCCTCTTATACTGCCAAGGCTTATTAAATATGGTTTTCTGTGGTTGAGCAGATGGCAAATACTGGATGGCAATATGTTTTGTATCAGAAACTAGAGCTGATGTGGTCTATCCAATGCAATTTTCTGAATCAGCACCCCAAATAACCAAACCAAATCTAAAGTTGACCAAATACCAATTTGTAACCCTTTTGGTACTAACGTTGGAGGGTGGTCTCTGGTCAAAGTGGTTCCTGGTCAACAAATGGCTGGGAACCACTGAGCCAAACATGCTCAGCTGCCTCGGTTTTAGCAACACAAATGGAGTTTTTCTCCCCTCTAAAATCATTAGAAAGGTGTTCATTGGGCGACAGTATGCCTCCACCCCCTTTTCTGCCCTGAAAGGATCGGTAGAGGTGACCTGCCCGCCACACGTGAGCCCGTGAGCACCATTGTGCCAATTCACACCTAATATGATCAGGCAGCTGAGGCCAAAAGGGTAATCCTGTTTTAGTTCAGCAGTAAGATTAGGATTTGGCGGATGGTGGGGGCAGATTGATGGAGGCGCTGAAGCGTGAACAGCGCAGTGATTTGGCTAATGCCAGTCCAGGCTGATGGAATAGGATGGACTTTTGCCAAAGCGGTTGTCCTCTCCCGCCATGACCTATGTCTGCTTGATAGTGAGTCTTGGCACATAAATGGACAACATACCCCAGCAGGACATGTAGTGATATCTAGGGACACTGGGTTCTCAAGTGCAATGAAATATTCAGAAAATAGATGTGAGATGGCCGTATCTGAGGGCAAAGTGATTTTTACAAACACAGTAGACTAGGAGCCCTTCCATACAGCCCTACATCCCAGAATATCAAGGCAGGAAATTCCACATTATCTGAGTGTGGACTCAGATAACTCACTTCAAAGCAGATAATTTGAGATTTTCTGCCTTGATATTCCGGGATTTAGGGCTGTGCGGATGGGCCCTAGAAGTGTCATTTCTGGTTGCTTGAGAGTTACCATTAAGATGGGCCCAACTGTTACCCGATACCAGTCCATACCATAAATTTTAGTATTGACTTGAAGATATGACAAAAATAAAGCATAAAACCATTCATGTTTTTATGCCAGGGCAGGAAAACTGTATCCCACCACGGTTTTGTGGTATAGTGAGTGATGAGGAACGCTTGAAGTTGAGGTTCTGACGTTTCTCTTGTGGCCCAACAACATTTGGAAGTTTATATTTTGTCCATTTCTGATTTGGAGAGTTATATTTTGCCTGTTGGTTTCCTGTAGCAAGGGATAGAGACCAGATAACACATCCTGATGTTTCTTTTTTCTTTCTTTTCCAGCTTTATTCCCTCCTCCTGAGTATACGTGGTGAAGTTTGACCAAGTTGATGGCGGCCAATGGACCTACTCCAACCAAAGACTTTTGGGCCTGGCCCCTGAGGAACTAAAGGCTCTCTGAGCTGTGCCTTCTCCCATTGCCTCTCTTCCTTGTCCCTCACCCCCATCGACACCATTCCCTGGCCCCACGACAACATGATCTTAGCCCGGTTTGATTTCCACAGTTTCCTGCTCCGCCTTTCCAACCATCCCAGGTGGGGCTGCCACAGACGCCCTCGCAGACGGGCTCTTCTCCTCTGGCTCTTGTTTCTTTGTTTGCCTGGCTGCATCCAAGCAACTACCTTCAAGGTGGGCGTGATGGGTCCTTGGAACTGTGACTCTATCTATGCCAGGGCCTACCCGGATGCGGCCGCCAGCCTGGCTGTTTCCCGCATCAACAAAGACCCAACTCTGAACCAGGGTTATTGGTTCGATTATGTCCTCCTCAATGAAGAGTGCCAGTCATCGAAAGCCATGGTGGGCTTTGTCAACTCAGAGCGCTATGCCTCTGGATTTGTAGGACCAGTCAACCCAGCAACCTGTGAGGCAGCTGGTCTATTGGGAAAAGCTTGGAACAAGCCCATCTTCTCCTGGGCTTGCTTGATAGGCGATGCCGAGATGGAGCGTTTTGGCACCTTTGCCCGGCCATTGCCACAGGCCTCTGCTGTAATCTACACAGTGTTAAAGTACTTCCGGTGGGCTCACGTCGCTGTGATAACCTCTGGACAGGACATGTGGGTGGAAGCAGGCCATGGCTTGGCAGAATCATTGCGCAACTTTGGACTCCCCGTCACCGTAGTGACCACCATGGAAAATGATCCTGAAGGGGCCCGGGATGCTCTCCGCAGGGTACAGAGGGCCTACGATGTAAGAGGTATGGTGTGGACAGGATATATATTTTGTGACCAGAGCTTGAAAAAGTCACCTTCTTGAACAACAGCTCCCAGAATCCAACAGTTGACAGCTCTGATTAGAGGATTCTGGTAATTTTTGTTTAATGAGGTATCTTACTCCAAACTTTACTGATGTTGTTTTCATAGAGGTCTAATATTTGGGAGATTAGCCAACTTCTGGTTCTGTTGTTGAGCAATTTAGAATGGCTGTGGATAGGCCCAAGCCATTGTGGGTTGCCTGATGAAAAAGAGAAGCCAATATTACAGAATAAATCTCACCAAGTTGAAGAGATAGCCACCAAGGTTTTTATTTCATTCCAGCTGGAAAGAATGACGATTGCAGTAATCGGCCAACAAAATCAACATGCCCACTGGGCAAAAAGATACAATATTGATAGCCTTCAGATTCAAAAGTTCCCATGCCCACCCTTTTCTCCCCCTTCCAAGCTGGCTTTGTTATGACTGACTGTGACATCAGCAAGCCAGCAGGAGAGCCAATGGTGGCCTGAGCCCTGTTTTGACCTCTCAGCCAATGAGGTAGAAGGGAGGCGGGCAAAAGGGAGACAATGAAGAAATATCTAGCTGACTGGATTAAGATGACCAATGTTTGCCAAATGGCTGGGTGATGACCTTTAGGCTCTCAAGCCTAGCCAAGGCTATTGTTTGATTCTTTGGATTAATATCTTGGTCTAGCCCCTAGAGACTACATCCTTTGTTTTCACAGTGCTGAGATGTGGAGTCCATTGAAGAAGTTAATGTTGGTTTCTAGCCAGTTACGTTGTCACAATGGAAAAGGCTGTGGTGAAATTCCTGGTTCCTCCCAGATAGGAAGACACCCTTTGTGTTGGGTGATTAAATTGTCCCTTTGTCCTTTCAGGCCAAATGGCCTGGCTTTTTCCCTCTGAGGTCTGGCCTGATAAGAATTATTTATTCTTATTGTCCATGCAAGTGGGCTTGGTGAAACATTTTACCATCTCAGGAGTTGTGAAGGGACTTCCTGAGCCATGAGAGTTGTTGGTTTTATGAAACAGTGGCTTTTTCCTTATATTTATATATAAACATACATACACATAGGGGATGGGGAAATGGGGCAAGGGGACATACAAGGAATTTGTAGGAAGAGAGGGGGAATAATGCAGGGTCTAAGGGGAAGTTACATCAGCCCCCCCAAAGTCCATAAAAGTTCATAAGGTTTGGCAAGAGTTTATAAAAGTTCCTATAAAGTTCATGAAAGTTCATGGAAGGTCCATAAGAGTTGGGCCATGAGGCCATAGAAAAAGCCTTAGGTTCCCACATGGGGGAGAGATAGGAGATTATAGGATCATTCCAGCCTGGTATCCTTGGCAAAACTATGAATTCCCTGATCTTGAACTATCTTTTACAGAATCGGGGGGGGGGGGGGGGGGGGGAGAGTAACCTACGACCTCCATTCTATCAATAAGAAATTGTGTATGGGGCCCATATTGACTTGGGATAAAATATGTAATTTAATTGAAAGCCATTCTGTGAGCCGTACCAGCCCAACATAATTGTCTTTTCACCTCCTTACTTGTATCCCATTGGGAGAACATAACTGAATGTAATATGAGATACATCAGATGACCAGAATCGCATGGAGCCTGTTATGAATAACTTCCCCACACTGGAAAAGAATATCCCACTTCTGACACCAATTTGTCCTGAATGACTTTTCAATAACTTTAAAACATAGGTTCTTTTATTGCAATTTCCAGTGTGAGAGGGTATATCAGATTACAAAAAAACATTTAGACAAAGTATGACATTGGAAACACAGACAAACAGATTCTATGCAACTACATTAGATTTACAATTACATGGCTAACAAACAAACAACCAACAGAGAATTACATTTTCATTCAGCATTAACACACATGAACATGCATTCATCCTCATGCACCCAAATATTACCATATCATTTTCTCCTTCCTTGGAGAAGCACCTGTTTAGGTCTGACCCTGCTTCCCTGCAGCCTGCCAACGCATAGTTCCAAAACTTCCATAATGCCATAACTTCAAAATGCCAAAACTTCTTTCCCTAAGAACAATGCCAAGGATCAGATCTCTGTTTTCTATACAGCAGAGCCTGACTCCCTGCACAAAATCTAAGACTCCAAAAGCGCATTTCTTTCTCTTCCCTTGAGAAAGAAAGCCAAAGTGACCAGACTATCTCTCCTATCTCCACTATCTCTCTCCTTCCAATGGAGCAGAGCACAGCGGGTGGAACAGACTCCTCAGGTCTGCCACACTTTGAGCATTATTAGATTGAGTCTTTTATAGGAATATTCTGATGTAGTCCCAAAGTTGTAAATGAATGATAGACATCTTCCATCCTGGCTCCATCTCAGTTTCCTGGCCAGATGTTGATCTTCTTGATTGGTGTTGACAAACACAAGGCTTGTGTGACTTCCTTCTTAACATAAGGAATGTTGCAAACATTTCTGTTATCACTGACCCAGTTCTTATCACAGCTTACTTTTCAGTTCTCATTAGCAACTTTTAATTACAGTCCAGCAAGCAGGTTTAGTCATTGCAGGCCTCAATATTTTACTGGTGTGTCAAATATTATTAACTCCTTCCATTCAGCCTTGCATTCTTCCATTCATTCCCAGAAATCATTTCATTCACAGTTATCAAATCTGCACATTGATTTTCTTATTATAAGTCCCCAGTGGCGCAATGGGTGTTAAAGAGACAGGGCCTTCTCAGTGATGGCCCCTTGGCTGTGGAACTCCCCAGAGATATTAGATCGGCCCCCTCCCTCTTGATTTTCCGGAATAAAAGTAAAGACCTTGCTCTTTGAACACGCTTTTGGAAATGCAGCATAAGAGATAAATATGGCATTATGAAAGAGTGAACATGGAACAGCTTAGACAATGCTAATAGAAAATGAGTTTAACTAGAAGACATTGGTGATTATATGTTTTATATGGTTTTTATATGGATTTTTATTTATTTATTATTTATTTATTAACTTTATTTGTACCCCGCTACCATCTCCCCAAGGGACTCGGTGCGGCTTACATGAGGCCGAGCCCAAACACAACAATAGAAGCAATAAAACATCAGTACAAGCAATTAAAAACATAGACAATAAAATACAACATTATCAAAAAATAAATAAATGCAACACATAATTAAAACAGTGGGAAGGCCAAATGTAGAGTTAAAATTGGAAATAATGCTGGGCCATGAACAAAAGGTGATACTGATGTGTGTGGAGGGCATACAAGCAGACTCAGGGAAATGTAAAGTGGTTTAGAGGACAAAGTGCTATGGGATCATTATTCCGGGAAGGCACACTGGAACAGTCACGTCTTCAAGCTCCTCCTGAAGACTGCCAGAGTTGGAGCCTGTCTGATATCTTTAGGGAGTGAGTTCCAGAGTCGAGGGGCCACCACCAAAAAGGCCCTCTCCCTCGTCCCCACCAAACGTGCCTGTGATTCTGGTGGGATCGAGAGCAGGGCCTCTCCGGAAGATCGAAGGGATTGTGTGGGTTCGTATGCAGAGATCCGATCATGTATTATTATGTCATGTTAAATGTTTTAATGGTATTTACGACTGTTGTGACATCAAATTGCTGCCAAATTGTAAGTTGCCTTGAGTCGCCTTCGGGCTGAGAAAGGTGGGATAGAAATACAGTAAATAAATAAATAAATAAATAAATAAATAAATAAATAAATTACCCTTGTGCCAGCAGGACTGTTGACCGATGGGTCTATGCGCGGCAAGACAAGCAGGGAGGGTGGCAGCGGATCCGCCGCTGTTTGACTCGAATATAAGCCGAGCATGGATTTTTTAGCCCCTAAAAAGGGCCGAAAATCTTGGCTTATATTCGAGTATTTACTGTACATTAACCCTTAAAAATTCTAAAAATGTGGACCATATATTGCAATGCACTTGATCTCCCTTTCTTACATGGGACCCTATTTTGTTCTTCGTGGTGTGCTCCAATGTGTTTTTCATACAGAATTCTATGTACAAGGTAGACGTGGATTTCCATTTTTGCAAAATGATGCATGTGGTCACTCAAATTGACCATAAAATCCACAGTCAATGTTCTATTCCAATGGCAGAAACCCAAGAAGAGGTCATTTCCAGTCTTGCTTCCATTACAAAGTTGAAAATGCCTCCCTACTTTTTATCAGAAAGGAATTCTGCCTGGATAGGGCCGCAGCACATGAGCAAATGGCCTTTCATAGTCAGAGCATCTCCAGCCTTCATAGTGGCCCTTTGTCTTTACTAGGAGATAGGTGAACGAGTAGTCAATTTGGTAAAACCAGAATAGAGCTGGAGCAAGCATTCACAAAGGAGGAGGAAGAAACAGAACTTTTGGATTTAAACTAAATATTCAGAAATGCAGAATTATCCATGCCACATATTTCACTCACTGTGTTGGTTGCAATAGATCGGTTCTTGGGTTTTATTCCTTGGGTTTTGTTCTAGATCCAGGGAAGTCATGCTACCCATGCTCTATTCTGCCTTGGTTAGACCACACCTGGAATATTGTGTCCAATTCTGGGCACCACAAATGAAGAGAGATATTGACAAGCTAGAATGTGTCCAGAGGAGGGTGACTAAATGATCAAGGGTCTGGAGAACAAGCCCTGTGAGGAGCGGTTTAAAGAGCTGGGCATGTTTACCCTGAAGAAGAGAAGGCTGAGAGGAGACATGATAGCCATGTATAAATACATGAGAGGAAGTCATAGGGAGGAGGGAGCAAGCTTGTTTCCTGATACCCTGGAGACTAGGACACGGGAAAATGGTTGGAATGGATGGCCCATGAGGTCTCTTCCAACTCTATGATTCTATGTTCCTTATTTTTGTGAATATTCTCCACAGTGTAAAGATAAAATTATGATTGCTTGGGATTTTTAATAACATCAGCCAGGGTTCCTTCACTACTTTGCGAATCGCTTTTAGCGGACTCACTGTATCATGGGTTTTTGAAAATATTAATAAAA